CTGATGATGCTGATGATGATGACGATGATGCTGCTGTTGATGATGCTGATGGTGGTGCTGATGATGATGATGATGATGATGATGATGATGATGATGACGCTGATGATGGTAATGATGCTGATGCTGATGATGATGCTGATGTTGATGACGATGATGCTGATGATGGTGATGATGGTGCTGATGATGACGATGACGATGATGCTGATGCTGATGCTGATGATGCTGATGATGCTGATGATGATGACGATGATGCTGATGAGGCTGATGACGATGACGATGATGATGATGCTGCTGATGATGATGATGTTGAAACTGATGTTGATGCTGATGATGATGCTGATGTTGATGTTGCTGATGCTATGCTGATGCGCTGATGATGCTGTAAGGTGGTGATGATGTGATTGTGATGTTTGCTGTGATGATAGATGATGTGGTGATGATGATGATGATGAAGATGTAGATGATGATGATTGATGATGATGAGATGAGATGTTGATGATGATGATGATGATGATGATGTTGATGATGATGATGATGTATGGTGATGATGGTGTATGTGCTGATGATGGAGATGATTGATTTGATGGTGATTGATGGGTTGATGATGATGAGCTTATGATGATGACGATGGTCATTGTGATGATGATGAAGAGGTGGCGGAGTAGGAGGAGGGGAGCGGGCAGGGGAAGGGAGGAGGGAGAGGACACGAGGACGGAGGAGGACGAGGGGAGGAGGAGGAGGAGGAGGAGGTGGAGGAGGAGGGGATAGGGAAGAGGGAGGGGAGGAGGAGGAGGAGGAGAGGAGGAGGGAGGAGGAGAAGGAGGAGGAGAAGGAGGAGGAGAAGGAGGAAAGGGAGGAAAGGGAGGAAAGGGAGGAGGAGGAGGAGGAAGAAGAATAAGAAGAGCAATATTAAGAGTACGAATAATAAGAAGAAACATAAGCATACGAATAATAATCATCATAATCAGAAGAATAAGAAGAATACTAAGAAGATGAAGAAGAATAAGCATAATACTAATAGTAAGAATACTAATAATAATAAGATGAAGAAGAATAAGAATAATACTAAGGATAATAATAATAATAAGAAGAAGAAGAATAATAAGAAGAAACATAAGAATAATAAGAAGAAGAAGCAGAGGAGGAGGAGGAGGAAGAGGAGGGCGAGGGAGGGAGGGAGGAGGGAGGGCTGCGATGGGGGGGAGGGAGGAGGAGGAGCAGGAGGAGGAGGAGGAGGAGGAGGAGAAGGAGGAGGAGAGAAGAAGGCTGCGGTCGTGGGGGAGGAGGGAGCAGGGAGGGATATAATAATTGAGGCTGGAGGGAGCAGCCGCAAGAGGAGGAGGAGGAGGAGGAGGAGGAGGAGGAGGAGGAGGGAGAGGACAAGGAGGCAGAAGAGGAGGAGGAGGAAGAGGAGGATTGAGGGACGGCTGCGTTCGACCGAACATCGATGCCGACAGCACGAGCCGAGGAGGAGGCAGGAGGAGGATGGAGGGAGGAGGGAGGATGGAGGTAAGGTGGATGATGGAGGGAGGGGGGGTTGGTCAGAGGGGAAACGGTACCGACCGATGCAGCTACTTTTCCCTTGTCTTTCCCTCTTTTTGGCCTCCTGGGAGTCCCTCGTCGCCATCGCTGGATTCGCCTCGAAATCCTGGTCAGAACGCTTCCCAGGAGAGGGCCGGGGAGCAGCGGTATGGGTACCTTTTCGATTCCCCAGCGAGGTCAGGTGGACGATGGAGGGAGGGGGGGTTGGAGGGAGGAGAGGGGATGGATGACGGAGGGAAGGAGGGAAGAGAGAGAGTGGAGAATGGAGGGGGGGGAGGAGGAGCAGGAGCAGGAGGAGGCGGAGCACCCGTCCGCTTCTTCGGCGGGCGGCGCGCAGGTCTCGGGCCAGAACCCGGACTTCTCGACGCTCAAGCGGAGCGCCAGTCGCCCGCCGCCTCGGCCCCCTCTGGGCCAGAGGCTATCGCCAACTGATCACCGATAGGGGCGTGCGGATTCGCTAGCGGAGGCCTATCGCTGGTCGGTTCACAAGGTCGATCTCCTCCCCCCTTGGAGCGGGTCCCCTCCCCACCGTTGCCCTTCACAGAGGCTAGAGAATCTAATGTCAAGTTGTTCTGAATGTTACATCTCCCGAGGCCAGTTTCGGACAATACTTGGATCACCTTGGAGAGCTGCCATGGGGGATCACAGGGGGCATCTAAACGTATATGCTGAAGGTGGGTTATGTCTGACCTGCCCTAGCTCATACGTGGGATATATGCTCGTCGTCGTCCTCCTCTTCCTCCTCCTCCTCCTCTTCCTCTCCGCCTACTCCTCTTCCTCTTCCTCCCTCCTCTTTTTGTTTGGGGCTGTGCACGCACTCAGATGTCCCATATCATCGAATCGAATCGAATCCCCCTCTTCCTCCTCCTCCTCGTACTCCTCCTCCTCCCTCTCCTCCTCCTCCTCCTCCTCCTCCTCCTCCTCCTACTCCTCCGATGTCCTCTTGCAACTAATCAGGACGCATAGTACTCCCATGTCCCCCCGTGAAGTTGTCTGAGGATCTCTCGCCCCCGTCCTTGTCCTGATTTATCCACGGGGTGGGGCCGAACTGTTGATCCCATGTGTTGTTACACTCCGATTGTTTCCGGCAATTTAAGCATGGTGCTCTCGCTGCAGCGTGGGCCTCATTTTCGGATCGGCGCTGCGATCCCGTCGTTCAGAATGGCGCTCTCGCTCAAGCGTGGACCAACTATCTTGATCCCACAGTTCCCACAGGACTCGCAGGCAGGTCTCGCAGGCCCCACAGGTCCCACAGGACCCACAGGTGTCGCAGGTCGTCCCACAGGTACCACAGGTCTGAGAGGTCCCAGCAGTCCCACAGGTCCTGCTGCTGCCACAGGACCCACAGGTCTCGCAGGTCTTGCAGGTCCCACGATTCCCACAGGTTCACAATTCCCTTGATCTGATTGCGCATATCTTGATGGAGTATTTTGTGGAGGTCCAGGTCGGCTACGTTACGCGTCCGCGGATTAAAAACAAAAAAAAACATCAGCGCAATGGGATGTGATGGGCGTGCAGGGTAGGATGTCAGATGTGGCGCGAACGCGCCTAGTTTGTATATCTCCGTTCCTCTTTCCTTTTCTACAATCAATACAACATTATGACTTATGGTCTCCTTCTACCCTGATTCTGTCCGAAAGATATGTTTCCCTCTCCGCGTACTGATGTTTTCCCACGATGTCTAGAATTGTGGTTTCGTATGTGTTTGAAGCATCCGATTGCGTTCGCTGTTTCACACTGGTTTTACCGCTGCAGCGTGGACCTCAGTTTCAGATCGGCGCTTTGCTCCCGTCGTTTGAGAATGGCGCTCTCGTTCAGAATGGCGACCTCGCCCCAGCTCGCGACATTTGTCTGGATTCGAGTCCTTGTTCATCGTTGTCGCCGCCCTCTTTTCCCCTCCTCCGCTTTCCCCTGATCCTCCTGCTCCTCCCGCTTCTTCTGCTCAAGTTCCTGCTGATGCCGTGCGTCTTCGTCCTCGTCCTCCTGCCTCGTCCTCCTCATTTTCCTCCTGCTCGCCCGCCGCCTCCTCATCCTGTGCGCGCAGCTCCCCTGCTCCGACTGCGCGTGACACGATGAGTCTTCCCTGGAGTTCCGGGCCAGCCAACGCGTGCGTCCGCGGATGGAGCACAAAGCAGCGCAATGAGAAGGGATGGAAGGGAGGGATGGGCTGTCAGATGTGGCGCGAGCGCTCCTCCTCCTCCGCCTCCTCCTCTTCCTCCTGCTCCTCCTCCTCCTCCTCCTCCTCCGCCTCCTCCTCCTCCTCCTCCTCCTCCTCCTCCTCCTCCGCCTCCTCTTCCTCCTCCTCCGCCTCCTCCTCCTCCTCATCCTCATCCTCCGTAGCCATTTTGGCTCAGGCCGCTTTGTCTGTTTGCCCCGACATCTTGGCTCAGGTTCGCTGAGCTCATGGTGGCCGAAAGTCATCCGTTCATGTTCTGCATTCAGGTGCCATGTCGGTTTTGCTGGTCGGCTACGTGTCCAGCTTTGGCGCTATCATGTCTGGCATGCCGTCTGAATACCGTAAACTTGCTGCACGCATTCGTGTCCTTGAGGAGGACACTCTTGGACAGCTGGACCCATCACTCTAGCAACGGTCGCTGCGGCGGCACACAGGGCTTTGTGAGCCGCTAGGGTACAACGTCCACTTTCGGACGCACCCTTTATCTCAAGCGTGGTCTCTGATTGGAAGACATTGTTATGCCACTGCTATGCTCGTGATCGGATTCTCTTTCGTGCCGCCGCCCAGGAGCGGCATGAGGTTTACGCACCAGGTGAGGCCGGAGAAGACGGTAACTGTAGCCAGATGGTTGCTCGGAGGTATCGGCGGGGACGCGCGCGCAATTGAGGCGCGAGGCCCCTGAATTTCACCGGGCGGCATCGGCGCGCTCTCTCTCCACGGCCTTGGACCCAGACGACGTTGGTGGTCCCAGCGGTTTTGTGTTGCCGCCAGACGCCCCCAGCCTCAAATTCGATATGTGCTCTGCGTTCGATTGTACAGGTGATGTATTTGCGTTCCTCTGGTCTGTGGTCAAGGGGCTCTGCGTGTCGGTGCACCAGCAGTCTTTGGCTTTCTCCGAGGTGTGCGACTCGACGCGCGTGCAGCTCGAAAAGATGCACGACGCCGTGCGCATGTGGCAGGGGCACCAACCGCTCCACGTTGACCGCAAGGGCCGCGTCGCCACGTCGCTCGCGATCGAGGGCTCTCGCGTGGACGCGCTGCGGGAAGAAATGCGCACCCCACAGCAGCGCCACATAGAGCAGGTCACCGAATGGATCGTAACATCCCGAGCGCCGAGCAGTTCGACACGCTGGTTCAGGAACTCCTTCTGTGGAAGCATATGCCAATATGACGCGTGCTACTGCCTCTGTGGCCAGCGTGGATGACTGCTGCCATCTTGTAGACACTAACAATGACAACGCCGATGAATTTATGTCGGAGGTCAGGGATCATATCCTGGTGGATGCCGCATCACGGATTGCTTATTGCGCGCGGCTGGCCGCTGCGCGCGAACGCGTTGAGCTGAGGCAGATTGTCCAGGACAGCGCTGCCCAGATTGAGTCGACGGCGGAGCGGTCGCAAGATTGTGAGTCTCAGACGGGAGCCCTCGTCTCGCAGGTAGCTGCCTTGGCGGACGCCACGCCCGCGCTTGCCACACGGACCAGATCGCGGCGATGGTCGAGACTCTGAAGCCTATGGTGGCCGCTCGCGATCACGATTCGGAGCGCATCGCCCAGGGAGTCGGCAAAGCCTTGAAGGACGCGCCGGATTCGACGACGCAGGCCGTGCTCGGGCGGCACGCGGCGCAGCCGATCCCTCCTCGCGCCGGCCAGGGTCGGCCCTTGGGGTGCGTTTTTTGCTCCTGCGCCGCTCTCGGCTGCCTCGGCCGACGACGGGAGATCTGGGTTTATGTCGGGCGTATTCCCCTACAGGGGGATTTCCGACGAAGAATAAACAATACCTCCAAAAAAACAGAAAGATCAAACCAGAATCAAAAAATAGTCCCCAGACTATGTTTGGACTATTTTTTGTTTATGTTTTGGGTATCTTGTATTTTTCGCCGAAAATTCCCCCTGTAGGGGGACACGCCCGACTTAAGTCTGGGCCGACGGAGCCTGCAGCGACTCGGACACCGGCACAGACGGCTTCGACGAGGCCCACTTCGAGAGGGATGGCCACCGCAGAACCACCCCTTGGTCTCGCTGACGGGTGCCAGCCCCACCAACTTGTCGGTTGCCTTCCGCCTCTTTGGCCGTGCCGCGCGCCGTCCGCATCAGGTAAAAGGTGGCATTCGTGGGGTTTTCGCCTCCACCCATCCCCCTCTCTGTGAGGGTGTGCGTCTCTCTGTAAATTCACAGAAGGGAAAGACAGGACGTTTCTCCTACGCTCGTCTCCTAGTCCTCATCCAAATCCTTCTCCTCCCCCCTCCTGCCCCCCTCCTCCCCCCCTCCTCCTCCTCCTCCTCCTCCTCCTCCTCCTCCTCCTCCTCCTCCTCCTCCTCCTCCTCCTACTCTTCTTGCCCGTCTTCACGGATGCCTGGCTAGTGCCACGAGGGGCGCTGCAGGGGGTTCTCGCCAAGACGGCCTGTGACGACCGGCGCGCCCCGCTGCCCTGGTCGCCGCTCCTCGGTCCCGCGGGGCCGCGGGGCCTCAGGGCCGCCGGCCTCCAGTGGGTGCCCTGCGCGGGGGGCGCGAAGATGGCCGCGCCTCGCGCGGGGCGCAACGCGCCACCGGGCGACCCAGTGCATCCTCCGCGCGAGTGAGCACCATGCCTTCAGAGACTCGCCCCGAGATCCTGGCCTTGCCACCTCTTCGCGGCGGTGAGGCGAGTGCGAAGGGGGGTGACCCAAGTGGGGGGTGAGAAGGCGGTCCAATGGGGGGTGCCAAAAGGGGCCCTTTAGGGCCCCTTTTGGGCACTTACTGGCTCCAAAAAGGGCCCTAAGCCTAAAGGGCCTCTTTGGGGCGTTTGTCTTCACCCCACATTTGGGCCACCTCCCACTAGCACTCGCCAGAGGCGGGGCGAGTTTTGCCGTGACAGCTGCGCGCCCTGGGACCCGCGCGGAAATCGATCCGGGGCCCGATGACACAGTGGCGAGATCGGGTTCCTGGCCACGCTCGCTCGTCACTGCCGTGCTGCACACTGCCCATGACGTCGGTGTTCAGAGACCTGCTCGGGGGCCGAAGCTGGTCCTGGGGGAGAGCCTTCTGGGGTCCCCCCTCCTCCTCCTCCTCCTCCTCCTCCTCCTCCTCCTCCTCCCTCCTCCTCCTCCTCCTCCTCCTCCTCCTCCTCCTCCTCCTCCTCCTCCTCCTCCTCCTCCTCCTCCTCCTCCTCCTCCTCCTCCTCCTCCTCCTCCTCCCCCTCCTCCAGGGCTCGTTTCCCACGGGCCCCGCCTCCTCATAGGAACGAGTGCGGCTTGTTCGTGCCACGTCGGCGCGGCGGCGGCGCTTGGCGGGCGGTCGCGCCAGAGCGCCGCCAGCGGCCCGAGGTCTGCCAGCGTGGGGCAACCCGCGCTATCGGGAAGTGTCCGTCGTTCAAGGGTGAGCCATCAGCGCGGTGGTCTGAAACCGGCGCCCACGCCATCGTGACGTGAAGCTGTGGTTCTGGACGCCCGACATGGGTACGGAAAGAATGGGTACAATGCCCAACAGCAGTCCCTGTTCGTTTTGAACAGGATTTGCTGTCTTCGCCGCCGCGGCCTGTGTCCATTCGAGACAGAAGGCCGCCTGCCCAACAGCGGCCGCTGTTGGTTTGGGACAATACTTGTTGTTGGGCATTGTACCCATTTTTTCCGTACCCATTTCGGGCGTCCAAAGCGGTGTGGTCAGGTTTGATCAGCAGATTGGTTTCGCCAAATCACTGGTGCCTTGGCGTCCCGTCTTTCGATTTCCGTGTCGTCGTTTTCCTTACCTGCATGGGCTGCGCTCGGAGGAGACATGTCGTAGTGTTTTCCAGGTCAAGAATGCACACTTCATTAGCTGATTGTTCGCGCTGGGAAGATATCCTAGCGAAGGACCCAACCATGTACATGGCGGAGTATCGCAAGGCAGGCTGGACGGAGGGGAAGCTCCCCAAGGGGCCACGAAGCGTGCGGGGGGTGTCCCCTGGGCGCCATGCGGACCGTGTACTCGCCCCTTCGGTGGAGTGCCCCGTGGCGTCACGACATGTGCGAGGGCGTGCCCAAATGGGACAGGGCCGCCGTGCGGGCGTTGCTGCTGGGGCCGTCGGTGGAGCTCCCTCTGGGGTCACGAAGTGCATGTGGTGTGCCCAAACTGGGCGGGGCCGCCATGCGGGCGATGCCGCTGAGACGTTCGGTGAAGCTCTCCACGGAGAAACGGCATGTGTGAGGGGCATGCCGCAATGGGGTGGGGCCGCCATGTGGGCGCGGCCACAGAGCCCTTCGGTGGAGCTCTCCATGGGGTCACTGAACGTGCGAGGTGTGTGCAAAATGCGCGGGGCCGCCATGCGGGCGTTGCCACAGCCCTGCAGTGGAGCTCCCTGCGGGGCCACGGCGCTCGTGAAGGGCGTGCCAACGGGGTGCGGCGCCGCCATGCGGGCGACGCCATTGAGCCACCGTCCCCCCTGGGCCACGAAAGGTGTGAGGAGCGTGCCAAACTGTGGCGGGACCACCATGCGGATCCTACCAGTGGAACCTTCGGTGGAGCTCCCCAATTTCGATGCATGGGCTCACGAAGCGTGCGAGTGGCCTACCACACTGGGGCGAGGCTGCCATGCGGGCGCTGCCGCTCGGCTCTTAGCTTTCACCCCTTCTTTATAGGGCCACGAAACGTGTGAGGGGCGTGCCAAAATGGGTCGGCGCCTTCTTGCGGGCGCTGCAGGGCGCTGCCATTGAAGCTTTCGGTGGAGTTCTTCAGGGGGCCACGAAACGTGCGAGGGGCGTGCCAGACTCGGGCGGTGCCACCATGTGGGCGCTGCCACTGCGCCCCTGCCTCCAGGGGAACGAGGCGTGCGCGGGGGGTACCAAAGTGGGGCGTCGCCGACATGCGGGCGCCGCCACTGAGCCTTTTCCCCCTGGGCCACGAAACGACGACACGTATGAGGGGCGTGCCACAATGGGGCGGAACCGCCATGCGAGCGCTGCCACTGAAGTTTTGGTGGATATCTCTACGGGGTCACGAAACGTGTGCGGAGCGTGCCAACATGGGGCGGGGCCGCCATGCGGGCGGTGCCACCGAAGCGTTCGGAGGAACTCGCCATGAGGCCGCGAAGCGAGTACGGGGCGTGCCAAACTTGTGCGGGGCCGCCATGCGGTCGCTGCCATTGAGCCCTTCCTTTTGGAGCTGCGAAGCATGTGAGGGGTGTGTCAAACTGGGGCGGGGCCGCCATGCGGATGTTGCCACTGGGGTGGTCGGTGGAGCTCCCCGTAGGGCCACGAATAGTGAGGGGTGAGTCGGCATGCGATTGGTGATGATGATGATGCTGATGATGATGATGATGATGATGATGCTGATGATGATGATGATGACGAGGATGATGATGTTGATGATGATGATGATGCTGCTGATGATGATGATGATGATGATGATGATGATGCTGCTGATGATGCTGATGCGGATGCGGATGCGGATGCGGATGCGGATGCGGATGCTGATGCGGATGCTGATGATGTTGCTGCTGTTGATGATGATGATGATGATGATGATGCTGATGATGATGGTGATGGTGATGATGACGATGATGATGATGATGATGACGATGAGGATGAGGATGAGGAGGAGGATGAGGATGATGGTGATGCTGATGCTGATGCTGATGCTGCTGATGATGATGAGGATGGTGATGTCGATGATGACGATGATGATTGCAATGGGGCCATGCGGAGGGCAGAGGCAAGGATAGGAGGACGGAGGAGGGGGAGGAAGGAGCTGTGAGTGAGACGCGGAGCGTTGCAGATCCAACCAGCTCACAGGATGGTTCGGATAAAGCGTTCCCTACTGCTTGCGCGGCCGAGGACAGAATGGGGGGACCGCATCTCGATCAGGGACCTTCTCAAGGCGAACCTGCGCTGTCTCCATATCATCGTGCTTGTCCCAGTGGTCGTCGTCGTCGTCGTCCTCGCCCTCTCCCTTCCTCCCCCTTCGACAGTCCTGGTGGAGGAAGAGTAGAAGGAGAAGGAGGAGGAGGACGAGGACGAGGAGGAGGTCGAGGACGAGGAGGAGGAGGAGTTCGGGAGAGTTTGGATAAGATGCGGAGAAAATTACTCACTGCGTGGAGCTCGCCTTCTGTGCATCTATGTGCATGGACCATCTCGCCTTGCGTGTCTAGGCGCAAGAGACTTCGAAAACAAACGGGCTTGAGTATCGCGCGACTGGGGGTAGGGGTGCTCAGGCAAACGCCGTGCGAAACACTTGCGCTTCGTTGGCTGGCCCAGAAGACTTCACGCAGTGGCCAGACCCCGATACAGGCAGCCACGCCACGGAGAGGAGAGACCCGACCTGTAGGAACATACGCAAGGCACCTAGGATTCGTGCCCCAGGAGAGGCCCGATCTACAAGAGCATGCGGGACGCACTTAGGATTGGAGCCACAGGTGAGAGGCAACATATGGGACCGCGCGTACAAAACCTAGGATTCGCGCCCCTGGAGAGGCCCAATCTATGGGAGCAGACGTGGGAACACATCCGAGTGGAGCCACAGGAGATGCGCAATCTAAAGGAACATACCTAAAGCACAACAAAGGATTCGCGCCACGGGAGAAGCCCAACCTAATAGGAACAGACGCACACCACATGGGATTGGAGCCACAGGAGAAGGGCAATCTAAAGGAACATACGTGAAGCACAACGGATTCGCGCCCCAGGAGAGGCCCAACTCATAGGAGCATACGGGAAGCACCTAGGATCGGAGCCACATAAGAAATGCAACATATATAGGAAGGCACGTACAACACCAAGGGTTCCTGCCCCAGGACAGACTCAATGAACCTCTCCTGGGGCTGCCTGGTGCTTCTTGGCGCCTCCTGGAGCATCCTGGAGCCTCCTGGTGCCTCCTGGCGCTTCCTGTGGCCTCCTGGGGCCTCCTGGGGCCTCCTGGTGCCTCCTGGTGCTTCCTGAGGCCTTCTGTAGGCTCCAGGTGCCTCGTGGGGCCTCTTGGGGCCTCCTGGTGCCTCCCGGTGCCTCCAGGGGCCTCTTGTGGCCTCCTGGGGCCTGCTGGGGCCTCCAGCCTCTTGGGTCCTCCTAGGGCCTGTGAGGGGTTCCTGTGGCCTTTTGAGGCCTCCTGGAGCCTCCTGTTGCCTCCTGCGTCCTCCTGGAGGCTCCTGATGCCCTCCTGGGGCCTGCTGGGGAGGATCCGTGCCCTTGGAGAGGCCCAATCTAAAAGAACATGTGTAGAACACTTAGGATTGGAACCACTCCTGTGGCCTTCTGGGGGCTGCCTGGGGCCTCCTGATGCCTCTTGGGACCTCCTGGTGCGTTCCAGTGCCTCCTGGATCATCCTCTCGATTCCTGTGGCCTCCCGCTGCTTCCTGGGGCCTCCTGTGGCTTCCTGGGGCATCCTGGAGCATCTTGGGGCCTCCTGGGGCCTCCTGGTGCCTCCTGGTGCCTACTGAGGTCTCCTGGAGCCTCCTGGTGCTTCCTGGGGTCTCCTGGAGCCTCCTGTGGCCTCCTGTGGCATCCTGAGGCTTCCTTGTGCATCCTGTGGCCTCCCAGGTCCTCCTGCGGTTTCCTGTAGCTTCCAAAGGCCTTCTGGGGTTTCTTGGGGCCTCTCAGGGATTCCTGTGGCCCACTGAAGCCTCCTGTGACCTCCTGGGACCTCCTGTGGTTTCCTGAAGCCTCCTGGAGCTTCCTGGGGCCTACTGGGGCGTACCCGTGCATACGAGTCGGGCCACCAACACAGGCAATTCGTTCGAGACATCCTCGCAATCTGGGCCCCCCTGGGATGCAAACGCCACCGCCTCGCCCGAGATATCTTCTAAATCTTGTCCGAAAACGGAGGATGTTGCGGCAGCGAACAGGCACACCGCTCGAGACATCCACGCAATCTGGGTGCGAACGGAGGAGTGGGATGCCCCCTGGTGGCTTTCCTTTGGAGTGCTGGAACCAGCGCCTCGCCCGAGACATCCTCAGAATCAGCGCCGCCCTCCTCCTCCTCCTCCTCCTCCTCCTCCTCCTCCTCCTCGGCATCACCATCATCATCATCATCATCATCATCATCATCATCATCATCATCATCATCATCATCATCATCATCATCATCATCATCATCAGCATCAGCATCAGCATCAGCATCAGCATCAGCATCAGCATCAGCATCATCAGCAGCAGCAGCATCAGCATCATCATCATCACCATCTCATCATCAGCATCATCAACATTGGAAGCATCAACATCATCAACAGCATCGGCGTCAGCATCAGCGTTCATATCATCACAATCCTCATCATACTCAACATCGTCATGCCATCATCAGCAGCATTATCGTCACACGTATCATCGTTATCATCATGATGATCATCATCAGTATCACCATCATTAGCATCATCGCCATCATCATCATTAGCACCATCATCAGCATCACCATCTTCATCAACATCATCATCAGCATCAGCATCATCATTGTCATCAAGACAGCCATCATCATCACAGCATAACCTGAGTAGCGACCCTGAGCGTGACCCTGGGTGAGGAGGAGGGGGAGGAGGAGAAGGAGGAGGAGGAGGATGAGGAGGAGGAGGAGGAGGAGGAGGAGTGAGTGGAGGAGGAGGAGTGAGTGGAGGAGGAGGAGTGAGTGGAGGGAGCTGGCGCGGTCGGAGAGATAACCCGCATCCCACCCTCAGGACATGGGGACAAAAGGGAGGAGGAGGGGGATGAGACCCAGGAGGAGGAGTGGGGCATGGAAAGCATCCCTCGCCCAGCCCCCGCTCGCTCCTCCTGTCGCCGCTGCGGCTGGTCTGCAGTCCTCGCCCCTTCCTCGCGCGCCGGCGAGCGGTGGCGCGCGGGGCCCACCCCGTCTCGGGGGGCGGGGCTGCAAGGACTGCCTCGGGGGCTCTCGCCGCCACCCCACCAGAAGTAGATCTGCACCACCCAATTTTTTTATACATATATAGATATATAGATACACATGTACGTATGTACCAATGTGTATATATTTACATATACTAACATATATATATATAGATATGGAAAAACAGTCTGACCGAGGTATAACATCTAGGTCGGCTTGGGGAGGGTACCCTCATGCTCTTCGTGTTTGTTGGATGCTCTTGTACATCCAGGGGGTGGGTACCCCCGGACGATCTGCGGGTTCGGGGTGTGTTTGGCCAGCGGAGGGCCTCGTGTTCTTGATGGACGCAATTATGTACTTGGTCCGACTGCAAATCATTCCTAACAGACCACCCGTCGGATGGTAAGGTGGTTGCGGGGGTGGGGGGTGCATCTCATGCTCTGCGAGCTGCGTCGGATGGGGGCCGTGATCTAATTCGCACATGATCTCAGTACATATATATATGTATTTGTATATTCTATACATATATAGAAACATCGTTATCTTAATGTGTTTATGTATCCGGCTCATTATCTATTCACCGACCCCGCTATCACACGATCAATCGGCCTCATGATGTGTCGTCTTCGCTACGTATGCGTATTTAGTGATCCGCCTTCAGTAATTGCATACATATACATATATGCATATATCGGCCTCGCGCTATATACGCTTGTATATACAGATGTACATATATATATATAAGACGGGACAGCCAATGAATAACCAAGGGGCAAGCACGGGACAACCACGGGGCAACCGCGGGACGACAGCCGCGGGCCACCGCGGGACAACCAGCGGACCACCACAGGGCACCGACTTGTCGATCTACCAGTTTTACCATCTATATATAGTGGTCGTCGGCCCATCCCGCCACCGTGCTTGGATTGAGGGCCAGAGTTCTCAGGGATGCTTCTTGGGGTCTCTTCGGAGCGCTCTTGGGCGCCTCTTGGGGGCAGATGCTGTGCCTCTTTAGGGGCCTCTTGGGCCCAGCGCAGACCAGCCGGCACAGTGAAAGGGCGCCTAGCGGCCGTGTGATGGACCGTAAGACGATGCCATCCAGGTTCATCGGCACGGGCGCCCCGACTTCCATGCAGTGCCGTTTTTAATACATGCTCCGCGTGCGGATCATGTATTAAGATGCTGGTATATAGTATTAAACACAACGATGAGTTCATGCATAAATTTATTCATAAATTAATCATGTATTAAAATCCTATATCTTAAAAAATCATATGTATTAAAAACTGCCCTGTCATTTCTTCAATGGGCTGCCAGCCGCCATGGAGCGACCACCTCACCGCGGGCGACTGTGGCTGCCATTCATGGCGCTCCGCTGTTCTGTCTTCTTAAATGCTTCGGATCGTGGCTCTGAGATTGCCGTGGCAGCCCCGCGCATGCTTGTGCAGCGCAAAAGGAGGAGCCCGCCCCCCTTGTCGCCGAGGGAGGAAGCGCGATGGTCATGACCAAGATGTCACGGGATCTCGTCAACGCCGATCTTGGTCATGGTCCCTACCTGCCGTCGCCGATTCGCGAGGATGGCCCACGAATTGGCGCGGACCAACATGGGCAGTGACCCGAACCCACGTTCCCGCGCTCAGTCGTGGTCATGGTCCTCGTTCTCTTCCCCTCCACGCTGCTCCCCCTCACCGGGTTGTTGTTTAGTCGCGCGCAGCCGACCCCTCCTGAAGTACCAGGTCGGGGGGGGGTCAAAATGAGCCCCCCCACGCTACTGTGCAGCTGCCGGCGTGTGGTTCAAGCTTATAGCCGCATAGCGGTGGCGCAGGACACGCTTGCTTATATTTAGTATTCCGCTTGATGAGAATAACCAAAAAAAATACCTCACCAGTGCGCGCTCCTGCCTCCGACGTCTCTCCTCGGCATGCAGCGCACGTCTTCCCCGCGGCACCGCGGCGGCACCCCGGGGCCCAAAGATCTCGATGCTCGCGCCGAGCTTGGCGATGGCAGGCGCAAGCATCGGACCCCGCGGGGCCACGCTGCAGCATCCAAGCCCTGCAGTTGACCTCGGCGGGAACTGCAGCGCCGCCCGATGCTCGCGGGGGGGCGGCCGCGGAGCCCGCTGCTTCTCGTGCGCCCGGCCCCGGCGGAGAGGAGTGGCTCGAGGCTCGGATGGGAGTCGAGGCTGGCGGAGGGATCCGAGGCGTCGGGGAGGCGTCGGGGAGGCATCGAGGAGGCATCATCGAGGAGGCATCGAGGAGGCGTCGGGGAGGCGTCGGGGAGGCGTCGGGGAGGCGTCGAGGAGGCGTCGGGGAGGCGTCGGGGAGGCGTCGGGGAGGCATCGAGGAGGCATCATCGAAGAGGCGTCGGGGAGGCATCGGGGAGGCGTCGGGGAGGAATCGAGGCTCGGGGAGAGGGCCGTGCTCCCCCCCCCCCCCGCGCCGCCCGCCGCCGAACCGCGCCCAGCTGGCCAACCCCCTCGGGGCCGAGGCCGCTGCCCCCCGCGCC